AAAAAAAAAATATTCCTTAACCAACGACGGGGTAAGAAAGGAAAAGCATGAGAGCTGAAATCTCAAAGGGCGGAGAGAAAGGGTGGACCCATTTTCCACTCCCTCACCAAAGTCAAACAACATCTCTTCCTATGTCTCTTCTTTGGTTTCACCAACACACCCCTGCCGCCCTCTCATAATTTTTCTCTATGTTCTTCTTCGATCTCTCTCTCTGCGATTTCCAAATTCCTTGTTCCAGTTTCACTTTCGTGCCATTTCCGATCTTACTTGTATTAATTGACAGATTTGTATAGCAATCTTACAGGTTATTTCAGCATATGAAATAGTATGCAGTTTTATATGTTCTTTTACTCTCTAATATTCTACCAGAAGTTCGTATCTTTTGTGTTTCTAGCAGATTACTTGGAACCACAGCCGAATGGCTATTAGTAGCCAAAGAGCCTCTACTTCTGCTCCTTCAGCTTCTCCATGGAAATACCATGTGTTCTTGAGTTTTAGGGGCATAGACACTCGCAGGCGTTTTACGGCTCATCTATGTCACAGATTGTGGTTTCGCTCAATTACAACTTTCAGGGACGACAATGAACTTGTAAGAGGTACAGCTATTTCACCAAATCTACTGAGAGCAATCGAAGAATCACGGATTGCGATCGTTATCCTCTCACCAAACTATGCTTCTTCATCCTGGTGCCTAGATGAGGTTTCAAAGATTGTTGAGTGCAAGGACGTGGACACCATTCTACCAATTTTTTATGATGTAGATCCTACTGATGTCCGAAAACAAATGGGAACTTTTGCGGAAGCCTTCAACAATCACAAAAAGAACTTTAAAAAAGACAAAGCAAAGGTACAACGCTGGAGAGCTGCTCTTACAAAAGTTAGTAATATCTCTGGCTGGATTTCAAAAGATAGGTAACCATGAACAAATGCACAGGTACTAGTTTTTTCAAATTATGCTTCATACATGTAATCTCACCAGATGGTTTTTTCTTGGTTGTAGAGATGAGAGCGAACTTATCAATGAAATTGTGGAAGAAGTGTGTAACAAAGTGCATCCTACAATATTCACATTGACAGGTTCCACAACAAAGTTGGTTCACATTGATTTTAGAGTGAAGAAAATAGAATTGCTATTAGATCGTGAGGCAAAAGATGTTCGCTTTATAGGGATATGGGGGGATGGTGGCACAGGTAAGACGACTATCGCAAGACTTGTTTATGATAGAATTTTCCATCACTTCGATGTTAGCTACTTTCTTCCTAATGTCAGAGAAGTTTATGCTACACATGGTCTTATTCATTTACAAAAACGACTTCTTTCCCCAATCTTGAAGGAAAGAGTTAATGAAGTTTGGGATGTTCATAGCGGAGCCACTATGACCAAGTACTGTTTATCTAATAAAAAAGTGCTTCTCGTTATTGATGATGCGGATCAGTTAAACCAACTGGAAGTATTGGCTGGAAACAAAGACTGGTTTGGTTTGGGGAGCAGAATCATTATTACAACCAGAAAGGAACATCTGTTGATCGAACATCACATAGAGGTAAGATATGAGCTCTTGGAATTACAAGACAGTGAAGATTTTCATCCCCACAGAAGAGATGAGCCTGAAGGAGATCTTAACTTGCAACTGCCTAAGAAGCTGCCTAATTCAATCGAAGATCGAAAAGATGAGTCTCAACGAAAATATGATGGACCCACCAAAGTTCAGTCGAAGAACGATGAACAAGTTGGCAAAGTTCCCAATGCTGTTGAAGACGGTGTGAACATGGATTCTCCTTCTAAAGTCAAGGTCTGTGTTGGGTGCAAGCAGAATATTAAGGATAGGAAATATTATAGAAATGGGAAGGGTACTCATCAGTGGCATCCACATTGTTTTCGCTGTCATGCTTGCAATCTTCCAATTACTGAATTTTTGATGCATGAGAATCATCCTTACCACAGACTCTGCCACAGGGAGCGGCATTTACGATGTGGTGTTTGTGAAAATTTAATCCCATTAAATTCAGATTGTACTGTGGTATATAGCCTACATCCTATCTCGCTACAAAGATCCTGTCCCAAACATGAGGACGACGGAACTCCTAGGTGTTGTGGCTGTGCAAGAATAAAGCCTAGGAACACCATATATCATTTACTTAATGATGGTCGGCATCAATGTCTGGAATGCCGGGACACGGCCATTACGGAAGCTGACCAATGCGAAGCCCTTTTCCTTGAAATACAAAAAGTGTTTGATTTGAAATTTCAAGAGAAAAAGTTTCTAATACACTTCGTCGAGAAAACAGAATTCTTAAAAGTGAGTGAACATATTTTATTGAGCGGGAAGCCCCCTGAAGTAACAGCAATTAAGATACTGAGTGGTCTTCCTAGGCTGAGAACAGGGCTCACTATGGTTCGGACTATGATGGGAGCATGGCTAGAGGTTAAATGTTATCGAATTCGAAATATGAGCCCACAGGTTAAAATTGATATGAGCCAAGTGTTGGCCCATATGTGGCTGGAATTTGTGATGAATTCTGGGTCAGACTTTGAGAAGAAGCTTGGTAACTTTTATCAACGCCGAATTGAGTCAGATAGTGGGGAAGGGTTCAGCTTGGGTAGAAAAGCAGTACTCAAGCATGGTCTAAGACAGACACTTGACCATATTGCGATGACAGGAAGCCTTCCACTTGTGGATTGATATTCATTAAGTTAAAAAATCCTATTCATGTCAATCAACATTTATGCAGAACTAAAGTTGTTTGTGTCTTGAAATGCATGTTATTGATGAGACGCCCATTTCCAAGGTTTGAACTAACATATATTTCTTTTATTTTTTATTTTATTTTTTGTATACAAGCAATATTAGAGGCTTCAAACACATACAGGATCTTAGGTACATAGGTGACTGCTCTTAACCACTTGAGCTACAAGCACCTTGCAACTAACATGTATTTCTAACATACATAAATTTGCTCCTAATTTGAAACACATGGCAAAAAAAATACACATGCTTAAACAATCAAACATGATTTCCAAAATTACATACATGAAGCTTTTATTCACATGAAACACCAATATACTATGTGCACTATGTGAACTGTAAGCACATCAATACATTTAGTCCTCCTTATTTATTTATTTATAAGGCAACTAAAAATCCTTATAAATAAATAAATAATCAATGCGAAAATTTCACTCAAAAATTGTAAAGTAAGCCAGGTTCGTATGAACAAGATACATACAAAATCGACATGTGGGCACACAACATGTGACATGTGTCATGTTGTATTGTACGGGCCAAAATATATAGTTCACCAACTATGGTAGAACAAACGTGAAACGGTTTAAGCAAGAAAACAATATGAAGACAACAAAGATTGTAAAAAAATGGCTCGATACTATTTTAAAAAAGGCTTAAAAGACACTGAGTGCTATCAATCTATTTTGCTTTCTTTAGAAATTGAAAACAGTAGCTATTGTAGTATTAGGGACTATTATATATCAGTGTCTTTTAAAGGGGACCTCTATTGATAATGTTATTGAATATAAAAATCTGTGCCTAATTTTTGCAATGAGTCTCACATGTCGCAACATTTAGATATACGTACGTGTGTCGTGTTAAAATCGAGTAATTTATATTTGTCACTAATTCATTTTTTTTAATCAGTTGAGAAGGATTGAAAATCTAGGCCTCTAACAACATTGAAATGATCATGGTACTTGTGAACTTAATTCTTAGACTGTCAGATACTATCATGGTACTTGTTATGCCCGTTTTGTTATCAGAAAGAGGATTATCATGTTGTAGTTTTAGTTGTATGCCCGTTTTGTGTGGTAACTTCTGGTTTTAGTTTTGCAGCAGAATCAGAATTGCATAGACTGATGGTGTAACAAACTGATAAAAACAAAATTTCAGATTATACATACGTATAATACTTTACTTTCTACAACTATATATGCTTGAATTATGTATAGGGATCGGTGCAGTTTTTGCCTTATGGATTACTCTAGTTGTTTGGCCTTGTCGAATATTCCAGGACCTTAATTAAATAAAGCCTTTTGTTCTGTCTTCTGTGATTTAGAAAGAAAAAAAAATGGAATGACATTCCTTTCACATCCAATGCAGATATCAATTTTAATTTTATTTTTGGTTTTAGTGATTCATTATTTTTGCATATGTGTCGAATAGTAATTTGTTGGAAGGAGGAATGTAAGTTATTTCAGGTCTTTATTCAATAATACACCTTAGTCAGACATGATTTCAGTAGGTAAGATAGAAATCTTCTTCTCTGTGCAGTCCTTTTAAGATCTTTCTCTAATGGGGTGAGATTTCTGAATGAGTAGGTAATTGACTGCTAGAAAAGGGACCTCCACTTATATGCATTTACTTAAGTTTCCTGCCCATTAAGAAACAATTAAGCAATCTTGATTTGCATTAGGATAGGGTGTTTCAATCCATATGGAATTAGGAATTCAGCCTCCACACGGAGAGACTGGAAATCATACACAAAAAATGGAAAATAATCTACAGCCTTTTCCACTCCTTAACCAATGACGGGGAAAGAAAGGAAAAACTTGAGAGCTGAAATCTCAAAGAGCAGATAGAAAGGGTGGACACATTTTCCACTCCCTCACGAAAGTCAAAACATCATCTCTTCCTATGTCTCTTCTTTGGTTTCACCGACACAACCCTGCCGCCCTCTCATAATTTTTCTCTATGTTCTTCGATTGTTTCACCTTTCACACACGTGATGTACCTTCTCTCTCTCTCTCTCTCTCTCTCTCTCTCTCTCTCTCTCTGTGTCTGCGATTTCCATTCCTTGTTCCAGTTTCATTTTCGTGCCATTTACTATCTTGCTTGTATTAATTGACAGATTTGTATAGCAATCTTACAGTTTATTTCAGCATCTGAAATAGTATGCAATTTTATGTTTTTTTTTTTTATCTCTAATATTCTACCAAAAGTTCTTGTATCTTTTGTGTTTCTAGCAGATTTACTTGCAACCACTGCCAAATGGCTTTCAGCAGCCAAAGAGCCTCCACTTCTGCTCCTTCAGCTTCTCAATGCAAATATCAAGTGTTCTTGAGTTTTAGGGGCATAGACACTCGCAGGGGTTTTACGGCTCATCTATATGACAGGTTGTGGTTTCGCTCAATTACAACTTTTAGGGACGACAATGAACTTGAAAGAGGTACAACTATTTCACCAACTCTACTGAGAGCAGTCGAAGAATCATGGTTTGCGATCTTTATCCTCTCACCGAACTATGCTTCTTCCACCTGGTGCTTAGATGAGGTTTCAAAGACTGTTGAGTGCATGAAAATCGACACCATTCTACCAGTTTTTTATGATGTAGATCCCTCTGATGTTCGAAAGCAAATGGGAACTTTTGCGGAAGCCTTCAACAAGCATAAAAAGAAATTTAAAAAAGAAAAAGAAAAGGTTCAACGGTGGAGAGATGCTCTTACAAAAGTTGGTAATATCGCTGGGTGGACTTCAAAAGATAGGTATGCATGCACAAATGCACAGGTATTTTTATTTTTATTTTTTTCCAAATTATGCTTCATATATGTAATCTAACCAGATGGTTTTTTCTTGGTTGTAGAGATGAGAGCGGCCTTATCAAAGAAATTGTTGAAGAAGTGTGTAATAAAGTTTATCCTACAATATTCACATTGCCACGTTCCATAACAAAGTGGGAATTGATTTTAGAGTAAAGAAAATAGAATTGCTATTAGATCGTGAGGCAAAAGATGTTCGCTTTATAGGGATATGGGGGGCTGGTGGCACAGGGAAGACAACTGCCGCAAGACTTGTTTATGATAGAATTTCCCATCACTTCGATGTTAGCTACTTTCTTCCAAATGTCAGAGAAGTTTATGCAACACATGGTCTTATTCATTTACAAAAACGACTTCTTCCCCCCATTCTTGAAGGAAAAAGTTAATGAAGTTTGGGATGTTGATAGGGGAACCAATCTGACCGAGCACTGTTTATGTAATAAAAAAGTGCTTCTGGTTATTGATGATGTGGATCAATTAAACCAGCTGCAAATATTGGCTGGGAAGAAAGACTGGTTTGGTTTGGGGAGCAGAATTATTGTTACAACCAGAAAGGAACCTCTGTTGATCGAACACAACATAGAGGAACGACATCAGCTCTTGGGATTACAAGACAATGAAGATTTTCATCCCTATGATGGGAATGAAAATCATCCACTTATGTGTTGGAGCAGAAATTCTTACAATAAGAATGTCTTCCACAAGTTCTTGGCTTTACTCCGCACACGAGATGAACAAATCTCCAAGCGACACTTCTCCCAAATCAGATGAGAGAGGGATGGGTACCTGCAAAAGATACTCCGACGCTCAAGTTAATTTTGGTGTGTATTTGAGTGCACCAATTAATCTTAATTCACCTCCCTTTCTCTGGTTGTGGAACTCCACATTTATACATGGTGACAGACTTGGGATGCAAGCCTCACTTTGCACGTCTTATGTCTACTTCCGCCACTTCCGGTTAGCGTGAGTTGCACGTTGTCGACTCTGAACTGTGTTCACGTTGTCCCTTGATTCATGCGGATAGGGGAGTGCGGGCGTTTGAATATACCCACGAACCCATGTCGGGCCACTTGTACACACGAGTCAACATGGGGTAATGCGCTTGTGAACCCACGTTGAGTGGTGCATATCCGAACCCGTGTTGGGCGGTGCGCATCCGGAATCACATTAGGTTTACGCGCATGCGAACCCGTATCGGGCCAATGTCAATACGAACTCACGTTGGGCTTATGCGTATGCGAACCCATATTGGATCGACCCCAATTTGAGCTCGTGTTGGGCTTTCGCACAAGAGAACCTGCATTGGGCCAATGCCCATATAAACCTATGTTGGGTTGTGCCTAAATCTGATCCTGTGGTGTGGCGGATCGGTAGCGAATTATTTTGCTCCCACATTATGAAATTTACGAAGCTTGAGAATCATCCTTCCCACATTTCCTGCTACATGAAGCTTCGTCATTCACTATGTGTTGTTCGTGAAAAAGTAATCCGATCAAATTCAGATGGTGGTTTTAATAATAAGTTTCTGGTACATCATTTCTGGCCACAAAGATCCTGTCCTTCTCATGAGGAGGACGGAACTCCTAAATGTTGCAGCTGTGAAAGATTACAGCCAAGGAACACCAGATATTATTTTCTTAATGATGGCCGGTCACTATGTCTGGAGTGCCGTGATTCGGCCATTAAAGAAGCTAATGACTGCGAAGCCCTTTTCCTTCAAGTACAAGATATTTTTTATTTGAAAATTCCAAAGAAAAATATTCGAATATACTTGGTGGACAAAGAAGAACTCTTCAAAGCCATGAATAAGGGAGAAAAGAAGGGCCGCGTGACTCGTCAATTCCTAGCAGGTGGGGCTACCCAGGGCTGTGTCGTATGGAAGAAAAAATGGAAGTTGAATCCTTTCCATGAAGTAACATCAATTCTGATACTAACTGGTCTTCCTAGGCTATTGGCATGGTCGATTATGGCTTGCAGTATAATGGACGCATGGCTACAGCTCAACTTTTTTGGAACAGTACATATGAGCTCACTGGTTAGAAAGGCTAGCCAAGTGTTAGCCCATATGTGGCTGGAGTTTGAGATGAACTCTGGGTGTGACATTGAGAAGAAGCTTGGTGAATTTTTCCAACACCAAATTGAGGAATCGGTGTTCTATGAGGACGTAATTCAGAATCTAAATTATATAAAAGGGTTCAGCTTATGTAGAAAAGCAGTGCTCAGGCATGGTCTAGGACAGACCCTTGACCATATATTCGAAGGACAGGAAGCTTTCCACCTGTAGACTGATACAAACAAGTACTTACTAGATAAATCCACTTGCTGAATGATCTTAACTAGTAATGGCCATGGCCTTACTTGTTAAGAGATTTTTGTTTGAATCTGTAGATGGCGTGGAAGTAATTCTCTGAGGTCGAGTTTGTGTTTGTGTTTTTTTGTTTTTATTACTTAAATCATCTTACACACTTTTGAAAAATATAGTACAAACCGAGGTTGACAGAAGCGGCTTGAGTGAAACTGCAGAGCTATGTAGCTTGAGTGATCTCGTGCTTAAAAACTCAAATTTGCAGGGCATGATATTGTTTGTACCAAAAATCGTATTTTTGCCTAAAATGGAAGATAATGATCCATGAACATCAAATGGCCAAAATATGGCTAGACATGCATTGCTGCAGTCAGATGGAGAGTGAGCCCAAAATTCAACTTCCATTGCTCAAATCAAGTTTCGTTCTTCATGAAAGTTGTTCATCTCTATGTCTACTGCAACATATCCAAATTTGAGATCATTTGGACAAATGTGGAATCCTAAGAGCTGAAAATACCGGATGCACAGCGTCAGTAAAAGGCTTATAGCAGCAATTCGGGCCTAATTCCAATGCTCTAATGAATTGTCTTTCTTCATGAAAGTTTTTCATTAGAATGTCTACTGTAACATATTCAAATTTGAGATCATTTGGATAAATGTGGAATCCTTGCGATATCAAACATCAGAAGCATACCAGCAACAGCGAAAGCTGATAAAAGTGGCAATTCGTTCCTAATTATGGCCCAATTCGGACCAGCTTCCAGTTCTCAGATGAACATTCGTTCTTCATGAAAGTTGTTCATTTGGATATCTACTACGACATATCTGAATTTGGCGTCATTTTAACAAGTATTGAATCTTCAGGGCATTAAGCATGATTTCTGTTCGTGACAGCAGTCCGTGACGACCAGTCAGTTGCAACCATGCTAAATCAGATTTTCCATTGCTCAAATGGAATTAAGTTCTTCATGAATGTTGTTCCTACTTATGTGGAGAACAACATATCCAAAATTTGCAGCAATTGGATCAATATAGCATTCCCAGTTTATTATGCATCAAGGCATGTTCGGAGGAGAAACTCAGGGGCTGCAAATCAAGTTTCACTTTATCAATGGAGGGACTTCATCACAAGTGAGTTGATTCAAAGAAGAATAAAATGAAGATGTGGTTGATGGAAACAATTTAATATTCTTTGTGATGAAGAATATTAAAACAAAGCCAAAGCTCAACATACACGTTAAAATTCTACATCAATGTTGAAAGAAAAATAAAATAATATGCAAGTGGACTTAAAGAATAAATATGAAAAAAGAAGTAGAGATGGTGGTCATTATCTCTCCATTTCTTTTTGTTTTTTAGTCAGCTACTTTTGGCTGTCACTCCCCAATCAATGGCAAGTGGACTAATACTTTGGATTTCTTTAAGTCTAATAGTGACAACTTCTGTCAAATCACATCAAAGCCTCTTAGCAATTTTTTTGAATTTACTTATATTTTCAACAACACACTCACCAAAACCAATGGCAAGTGGGTACTTCAAATTGGCTGCTGGTCCACTCAACCGACCTCATCATTTTCTATAAATTGAAGGAGAAATCATCAACAAAGACACAAACAACTCAACCAACAAAAAATAAGACTCAACGTCTATAAACCCAACTCAAAAGCTTGAAACAGCCTTCCTTTTTCAATCTCTGAATTTCCTAGTTGACAACTCCTAAGGAATTTTCTTTATTTTGCTCTGCCAACTCTTGGTATGATTTTTTCTTGTACAAGATTGAAAGAGAAATCTTCAATCTCCATTTTAATTTTATGTGCCAGGTCTGAATAGAGAAATCTTTGGGCTATATTGTTTATGTACTTCCTTTTTATTTCAAGTTGTCTGAATAGAGAAATATTCCGATAAACTTCTGTCATTTCTATCACTGTTCAATTTCAGCTTCTGTCAGTTACCATTTTCGCACTAGATGAATATTGAAGTCCTCTTAATTGAGGCATAGAAAAGAACCTTATATTGGGTCAATTCCCCGCCCAATCCACAATTGATTGATTAAAGTCAATATCGGTGTGCATTTTCCAGCGCCTTCACAATCGCAACAAGCAAACTCCACGGCTAAACCCCTCGCGAATGGCCGGCGGGTCCTTTTTGGGGTAAACAGATATGAAGAAAGGAGAGCGAGACTCCGAGATGAGAGAGAGACTGCCAGTGCAAACAAGAAACACACGCTCTCATCTTCCTTTCATTAAAGAAACATACATGGGGTGACATTTCTTTCACATCCAATGCAGAGATCAATTTTTGTAGGGGATTCTTTAACTCCGGTGCAATATTAATATCTAGCATAATCTCAACACTCAATAAATACTTAGATTATACTCTTCCCTGAATAAAAAAATGTTGGCAGAATCACATTAAGTTCGTGCAAATTATGTAAAATTTGGAAGTTTACTCACAGCATCACATTAAGTTTACCATTTTTTTATTTTTATTTTTTGCAAAATTGGGTACTATATCGATCGTTTGGCCATAGAACCATAGAAAATAGAAGAAAAACTCCTCTTCGATTTTATTAAAATGCCATATAGAAAGTCAAACAACATCTCGACGTCTCTTCTTTGGTTTCACCAACACAAGGTATATGCCCGTTTTGTGTTGTAACTTCTGGTTATAAACAGATAAAAAAAAAATTAAGATTATACATACATATAATACGTTCTACAATTATATATATGTAGAGGGATCGGTGCCTTTTTGCCTTATGGATTACACTAGTTGTTTGGCCTTGCTGAATATTCCAGGACATTTAATTAAAGCCTTTGCTTTGTCTTCTGTAATTCAGAACCACCAAAAGAAAATGATCTTGCATTTAACTCATCATTAACAGAAACATATTTTCTATCAAGTTCATAACATATAAAAGAATATGGAATGATTCCTTTCACATCCAATGCAGATATCAATTTTGGTAGGGGATTTTTAGCTCATCTGTAACACCCCGACCCCAAATTTATCCCATGTTTAATTAATTTAAGTGGAATTGAGAAATTACCCGTGGGATAAGGGTATTTTGGTCATTTTCTTATCCGGAAGGAATTTGGGAATTCCGATTGTACCATTGCGTAGAGCACGGTGAGATGAGTTCGTAGACACGTAGTGGGCTCGAATCGGAGTTGTAACGAGAGAGATATGATCAAAAGAAGCTCAGTGGCATAATCGTAAATTTTTGGAAAATGGATTTTTGGTTAAAAGACGGAATTGCCCCCGTCATTCTCTCTCTCTCTCCCGCGCGCGTCCCTCTCTCCCTCCGCTGGTTCGCGACAGCAATGGGGGCCGGCCACATTTTGGCCGGCCGTGCTCTCGTCCGGCCACCAACGTCGTCGGGGCCCGCACCCACATGACCGGGC